TAACCGTTTATGATGTATAATTTAAAATATAATATTTATATAATTTAATATTTTGCATATATATTTTATAGTACGTAAAATATTTCGGTAGCGGATTAGGACAATACCTAACATGGTGTTCGGCCTTGGCGGCGTAAACATTGACGCGCGTAAACATTATTTACGTATCACGGCCTTGTTATAATTCATACGGAGACACTTGAATAGAACTGTAGTGGGGGAGCGAGACACTCAAATTCCTTTCCTATTATGTGTTTGTTATTATTCGTACGGATACTCAAGCAGTAAAGTAACGGTGCGAGACGTTCTGTCAAATTCCTTTCTTAAACGCGATCGCGACAAGTATCGGGAAATAATTTGATAAGATTAATAATTAGTTTTACATATCTTAAATAATAATTATATTTTAATATTATAACTAAACGTAATTATATTGCTAGATCTCGAAGCGTGTATTTTGCATGATGTATGTACATTTAACTAAGAATCGAAGTGACACGAATTAAAATTATGAATTATTGTTACGATCCTTATAAGCAATAATTATTTCTTCAAAAATACTTTAAGTTAAGTATATTTTGTCCGACGCTTTATCGTATGACTTTTAAATACATATAATATGATGGCAACGACTTTTCAATAATATGGTTTTCGGCCTTGGCGGCGTAAACGTTGGCGCGCTATTGTTTACGTATCATGATTTTGTTATTACTCGTACAGCAACACTTGAATAAGAACTATAGTGGGGTGAGACGCTCCATCAACATGAAATTCCTTTCTTATGTGTTATCATTCACACGACGACATCCGCGCAGTAAAGTAGCAGTGCGAGACGTCCAAATCTCCGTCAAATTCCTTTCCTAAACGTGATCGTGACAAGTATCAGAAAATAATTTGATAAGTACATCTCGTCGCGTCGTCGGTGCTGTCATCGTGTCGCGGACGGCTTTCGCGTCTTTCGCGTCGCGTGTCAGTACAGCATTGCCACGAGTCGCACAATGGCTCATATGTGGCACGCGCATCTGTGCGTCGAACGCACGTTAGTGCGTCGTCGTTGCCGTCATCGTGCCGCACGAGCAACGATGCGTCGCGTTGTCGCGTTTTCGCGTTTTCGCGTCGTCGCGTCTTCGCGTGGGACCTCTATCC